GAGAGAAGCCGATGTGGTCCGGGGAGTGGGGTCGTGGTGGGGATGCGAATGCATCCCGTAAGGACCTGGGTGGCGTGTCGATGAAATGATGGTCGTTTTCGGAAATTCTAGGGATGCCTGCTTGCCCTCATTTACTTTCTCTCTCGCTCTCTTAGCTTGAATCTGAAGCAATTTTCAAGTTCACAAAATAAGGCTATACAGTACATAAAGGTGCACGTGTCTCTTAGGAAAATCGCAGTCGAGCGATACAGATCTCCTTCATTTCCTTAAAGTTCAAGAAATCTCTAAATCACGGTATAGCCACGCTGTGATGAAAAATAAATGAATTTGCTTCCAAAGCAAGACCCCAAGGGCGAATACTTTCATTTCCATGTAAATTCCAAAAGCTTAAAAAAAAAAAAAACAAGTTCTAACCACGATATGGAAAGGAAAAGGTTAGCCAGAGAGACTGAGACAGAACCAGACCGAACGCTGTGGTTAAAGGAACAAGCCATGAGACAACACCACCAACGAGATGAAACAGGACCGAGCGCCGTGCCGCCTCATAGGTTGGAACTAAGATCTGGAGCCGTCATCGTGCTCCTTCGCAACCTCAACGCAAAAGAAGGAACGCGATGAACAAACATGATCGATGCCGACGCCTTAACTGGAGGGGGAACGAGCCCTTGAGGATTCACCGGCCTCCTTCCGACCCGCCCTTCGCTCGGAAGCGACGCCAGTTCCCGATTCCGCTGGCTTTCTGAGAGGAGTCGATGAGGAACGAATCACTAGGGATTCGTGCACATCGCCTAAGGAGGCAGTCTCTTGAACGTCACTGGCCCCAACGTGGTTCTGTATGATCCCAGACTCCTGTTTGCCTTTCCGTTTCCCCGGTTGAGACTGCCCTTTTCCCACAGGGGCTGTGGCCTTTTGTTCTGGCAGAACCAAAACGTCCTATTTAAGGGCGACGTCCTTCTTTTCTTTCCTTCTTCTGTGAATGCGGCAGTTCATAAATGTGTCAATTGCTATTTTAGCCTCCATCCGTGCAAGGTATTTTCGTAACGTGAGCTGGCAAAGGGGAATCCAATGGACTCTTTCTTTTTGATTATCGACCTGTATTCATATGCCTGCCCTGTTTGCAATGATCTCACATGAACGCAAGAACGATTCCCAGACTATTCTCGTCAAAAATGAAGAAATTACTCCATTAAAAATAGACTGGCGGCCTGCGGCCGCTACGCTGGCCGTCTAATAGGTGAAAATTTGAATCGTCTATTGTGAGCACAACGTCTCCTTGACAATCCTTTGTTCATGGCATTACCCATTCGGAACTGAACCGCTTCATTACATTTATACACATTTAGCTTACAGTGCACAGGGAGATTCTGTTCCTAAACACGTTCATCGCGACATTCCAGCTGATTGCCACAATCGCCATTGTGAACGCCTCGGTTTAGCACGTTTTCATTAGACTCAAGACGACTTTGCTGATTTCCTCTTCCTAGCACATTCAATACGCTTGTACCACTAATTAGCGCATGGGCTATTAGCGTTGGCGTATGGTATAGACGCCAATGATTCTGAAACAGTACGGACCATTTCCAAGAACTTGTTCGACGCCACAGAGATGTTAGTGCATGTGCGGCACAATGCTATCGACCAATTCCTGGAAACGCCTCGCCGCCACATTAGCACCAGTCAGCAACACTTTCAGAGCCTCAGGGTAAAGTGTGAGTTGAAGCAGGAGCATTTTTCCTTTGCGGCAGCAATGTGAAACAAATGCCCCCTTCCTACATCAAAATGTACAGCCCGACGGTGCTCGCTGCGGCAAACGACTGTGGTGATGGAGATGACATGGAGAGCATCCTGAGTTCCGTGGTGCAATGGTAACACACCTGACCGGCAAACAGGAGGTCCGGCTTTCGACACATGCGTGTTGCGTTCCTTGAGTCAACTTGCCCAGCAAGCTCCATGGCTCTCCAATTCTTGAGCTCAGCATTCGCTGCCTCTTGCTGTTCAGCGGTCTGAGCAGCCTTACGCTCCCTACGTGCAACTGGGTACTGTTTATCACTCATTCTAGCCATTACGGCTAGCACCTCCTAGAGCACCGATTTAGACACTTCGCACCGCAATTGCAATGGCAAACGTTGTTTCCGCGCCAGCACCAATCGTTTATTATCTGCAGCGACTGCCTCATCGCCGTCCTGTGGGANTAGCCATTACGGCTAGCACCTCCTAGAGCACCGATTTAGACACTTCGCACCGCAATTGCAATGGCAAACGTTGTTTCCGCGCCAGCACCACTCGTTTATTATCTGCAGCGACTGCCTCATCGCCGTCCTGTGGGACCTCCTTTAACATTTTTTTTCACGTTCAACCTCACCTGGAAAAAATCGCCACCATTTTGATGGGAGGAGCGGCCCGTTTGCGCGACGTACGAAACAAAGAACTTTCGTTATTATTTTGATTTCATCAATCATGAAACGCAAATAGAAAACTATTGCATGGAAACGATAGCCCGAACCACCACACCTGACCCAACGAAACAAAATACATACAAAAAAAATACTTCAGCAAATAATGTATTCAAATCGAGAACTTGCAGTCGCTCAGTGAAAACGTGACACACATTCAGTTAGCTGTGTCAATCAAAGGGGACTACTAAGTATGAAGCCTATGGCTCAGATTCATATAACCCGATGGACCTGGCGCTAATAGCTTTGGATGGCCAAGCCTATGGCCTAGAATAGCATAGCCTCATGGACCTGGCATTTTGAGGGGTGTATATGTCCTAGCCTATGGCCTAAAATGATTAGTCTCGTAGGCCTCGCGCATTGGGGTGGCAACCACCACCAAAACTCTCGGGCTCTTTGAGTTGAAGTAGAAGGTGGCCTGGAAAGGCAATAGCCTTGTAGTCCTGGCGCTTTCGGCCGTGGATGGCATGGCCTATAACCCAGAATGGCATAGCATCGTAGGTCCACGCGTTGGGAGTGACAGTCACGATGATCACCACCACCACAACTTTTGACCTCTTCGAATTAGAGTATTTGATTGCGAAGATAAAGTAAAAGGCGTATATTTTACCGTACCATTTATTTATCGAATGCCTATGCGGCGAATATATTGTCACGAATTCAAACATGGTGGTTGGTGGATAGGGCCCGGGCATGCTAGTTTAGCCATGTTACGGCATCAGCGCCAGCGGTGTTCAGAGTGCGGAGGCCACCAAGGAGGCAAGTCTTTCTACCATGTGCAAGATTGGAGATCACCGCATTCGCACTGAGCTATCACGCCGTCCTCCTCTGTGGTCATACGCAGTACAACGCCCATGACCAGTCCGGACACGGTTCAGAAGGGTCCACGGTCTCCGTGGAAGGTGGAAGCCTGGTGATTTGACGGAAGGGTTGTCGACTACCTGGTGATTAGTCACCGTCGACTTTGAACATCCCACGCGCCAGCGCTGCTCCACTGGCACAGCTTGGCCTGATGATACAAGGTAAAATGACCCAGAATGGGTGCCGGGATGGGAGGCGATGGGTTGGTGGAACAGGTCGGAGCGGAAATGCAAGGCAGGATTTGTATTCACATCTTCGAGACGGCAAACGCACGGCGCAGCTGTGGTGGAACTGTGTGACGCAACGATTAGAGCCATGACACGGGTGTGGATCTAAGCACTCAAGAGATGGTACGCATTGTTGTGTGCAGCTGCGGATCAGTCTTCAGTCATTCCGCAGCCTAGTTAAACATTGTCAGTTCGCAGAGTACATGCCTCTGCTCCCCATGTCGAACCAGAAAGCTGTCTAGGAAGGTTGTTTCGTGTTTGCACTTTTTAGTCTGTTTTTTCTAGTTGTTGGCGGAATGTCAATGTATGATCCAGGGTCACCTCGAGGTACATTGGGTTTCGATCATATCGCAGTTGTTGGCCATTTAAGTTCATAGCGAGTTCGAGTTTGGCAGAGGCATTATGCAGGTGAAACACGATGGACAGTCTTTGTCGGAGTTGGTTACAGTCGCCACTGGTGGCATTAGCTTGCAACGGGAACCCAGGTCTTGGTTCGAGGTGACTTCTGGGTTGGAGAAGCTATGAGATTAGAATCCGAGACAGATGTCATCGGTAAAGATAAAATGGAGTGATTTCGTCAGGGGAAGTCATTCCTGAGGATGTTGAAGAAAATAGGGCGAGTACAGAGCCCTGGGGTAAACCGTTGCGTTTTAGGAACTGATGCGATCCCCATTGCAAACTCTAAACCAGCGGTTGCGAAGCATTAGCTCCACCGAATTGGCGACCCAGTGTGGTAACTTCATTGAAAGTTTGGTCTACAAACTGATGTGCCAGATGGTGTCATGAGTTACTTGATTGTCATATCCATTCGTTGGGACTATTTTCGTTCAGTACGAAACAAACCAAACATTTCATTCCCACTTGTGTTGCATTCATATTTTATAAATATGAAACTCAATTTTTGGCAATTTTTGAGTATACTGGCAGGTGTAGCACGCTGCACCTCAACATCTTTTTTATGCATATCTGTTCCATCTTGAACTGTGATCAACTTTAACATAACATCCCTAGTAGCACATAACATTGATTCAACGTAGGTTCAACGTCCGGCTGTTGAATCAACGTTGAGTCAATGCTGCTTCAATGTTATGTGCTACTAGGCATGTGGCGTCATGCGAAATGAAAATGATGACGTTAGCATGCAACAATTAAAAACGTATTAAAAACATGTCTTCCTGGGATTAAATAATCTGGTCTGATAAAATATGTATACCATCAAATGCATCCAGTTTATCACGGCATGGCACCAATAATGAACATAATACGTATTGGGAAACATGCAATTCGTGATGCAATTTCTGTCTACATTTCGAGTTTGATGCTGTAACTGCGTAATCCTGATTTTTTTTGGAAACGCGAAGTTATCCGTGGATGATAACTGTTAGATGGACAAGAGAAGGCACTGACACAAATTCTTTATTCTTTGATGGAAAGAATGAGAAAAAAATAGCGCAAGTCCTTAGGACTTCTTTGCTTTCTTCGGATCATCATCAGGATCATCCTCTGATCCTGCTTCGGCTGCTGGTCTTTTTCTGCCTTTCTTCGTGTCTAGAGCGATTATGCGAATCCAATAGGCTGCTGTACGGTAGCCAGCTGCATCAAGATGAGAGACAGCAGTATCAAGGATAGCTTCTGCTATCTCCCGGACTTGCTTGCTGGTCGCCACCCCATTTCGGCAAAAACTGGCGAAACATTCGCAGTTGAAACTCAATAGGTTATAATCCTGACGATATTTTGGATTTGTTACAGCTCTCATTGCCCTCTCCAAAATTTGCTCTACAGGAAGAGGCTTTACATCTTCATCGACAAAGTTGTACTTATAGGCACCCTTGTCTTCCATAAAGTTTTTTAAGATGCACAGATTATACTTTGTGCGGAATGAGGATCCTTCGGCCCCCTTGGCAGCAACTAATCCTTTCACACTCTTTTCGACTTCATCAGTCTTACATAAACTGAGTTCTGCTACGAAATGGACATTGTGTCCACAGTCCATCAATACAAGGTCTTGCCCGCATTCTGGGCAAACGATGTTCAGTTCGGGTTTTAGGTACTTCTTTACCACAGGATGGATATATTTTCTTGATCCACAATAAATGCCGGCATGTTGCAGGAGGCCACCAAAGAAGGGCCTGAATATGATGTCCCCAAGTTCCAGTTCTTTGAGGAAATCCTCATACTTGTCAATGAAGAAAGCCTTGGACTGCAAGTCTTTCCTTCCTGCCATAATTCTGAAAAATATATACACCAATTGAAATGTCACCAATGGTATGTATCGGAAATGGCATCATTCGAAATTATAGATATACTAAGGTTAATAGTTTTATCCACAGAGAAAAAATGACCCGTTATGGTGTCATTTGTCACACATACATGGCGTTATGAAAGCATTTAGGATACTTCCATGTCAGGTCACCCAACTTTCCCATGATTTCTTGATGGACCATCAACGATTTAATGGAAATTTGGTTTGAAATTAGCGTTTGGCCTAAAAACATGACATGAAATCCAAAAATATTTTCATTCTCACCGAAAGTTTTTTCATGGCGATATTTTGAAAATTATTGCAGACCTCCACAAGATTTTATTGATTAAATTTTTCCCTATTTGCTCTAACAGGCTCATTTTGGACTCATTTTAATTGTCTCTTTTAGCTCTACAGGTACGCGACGGATAATTTAAAAAATTTCTAAGATCTTGACGCCGTGATGCCTCTTTCCAAATACTGATGGGTATATCCTTCAAAGTAGTTCTCCTCCGCATCTCCTCGTCATATAAGAAATGCATAATGTCTACACTTCACAAATTTTACAAGATAATGCACAAATCGCATAGGGGGCAGCTTAAACTTGCAAGAGGCTTTTTATGTACCAGTCTCGAAATATGTGCAAAAGTGTGATTGACATTTGCCATATTTTGGTACTTTAATGTCAGATGGCTAACTATTGGACCGATTTAGCTGACGTACATCATGTAATCTCAATCATGTTTCAATGCAGTTCATATATTTGCAGGGTCAGTTCTTCTATCAGTCAAGACTTGCAAAAAAATTTACAATGAAATTGAAATTGAACACAGATTACCAGGACTCGGAAGAATCTTTTGTTCACATTTTAAACTGGAATATTTATCAGTGTATTCCAAGCGTCGTGGGAAGCAACTTTTAACACATCGGAATACTTTTTCCTGCAGTTGAGCGTCTGCAGATGAATTGGAACAAAGGATATTCCAATCAACGAAATTATTGGATTACTGATACTGTAATCCTTGAAAACATAGGGAGAAATAAGGATAAGACTGACTAAGACTGCTGTACGTATCGCGACGCAAGGTCCACCAATCAGGAACGACTTCATAGGCGCGTGAACTTCGGTACAACGGGTTATTCGTACAAGTCATCCAGGAAGGAAAGCTAATATTGATGGCGAAGCAGCTTAAATTCAAGGCACAGTATGCCCGGGTTGGATTTCCAGACAATTGCTTCGCGTCTGCAGCAAGGGTTTCCCAACTGATTGAAATATACGTTTTGCTCGAGATGGGTTTCTTGGCTATTATCTCACGTCCACAACTTGGGTTTTAGCAAAATATCCTCCAGGACAGCAACCGACGTGTCCTCTTCTTCATCAGAGAAGTAGGATGCAACCTAGACATGAACTTCGGTTACTTTGCCATGAGAGACGGACAGAAAGGAAGCATAAATTTAATATGTTATTGGGGACGGTGAAGGATAGGAAAATAGGACAGAGGAGCTCTGGTTGTAGCCAAGGGTTGCAATGTATACATGCGACCATGATGAACAGACATAGGAATCAATAACATTAGTCCAATAGGCAAACTGAGGCATTCATTCCTATAGTGAAAACCATTAAGGGAAGAAACTTTAATTGCAGCAGATCAAAATGAGGGGGAAATGCATAACATTTGGATTCCTGGGGATTTGTGAGCTTACTAGGTCTTAGCTGTGTAACACTGAGTCGACCATACCCTTAAATTAGGTGTCATTTTCACACCATCTGCAGTGAAATCCGTGGATCCGTTTCAGATCTGGAACGCTCTGCCAAACTGCCATTCGAAAATCTAGAACCTGAACGCCTAGTAATATGTTCGCGTCCCCGTCCTCCTCAAAAACAGCTTTTATTTTCTTATCCGTGCCCATGTCTTCTGTTTTTTATGCATGGCAAGATTTTTGTGCGAAGTTCATGGGATGAGGTGCGATGGATGGGATGGTTAGCGGAGTTCGATGGATTTTGTGAAATATGAACATATGGTGCATGGACATTCAAGTTATGGCGTCTAAAACGCATATCAATTTCGAGCGCAGCCTGCCCACGGATATCAGAGTCAAAATAGTTCGAGAAGCTCCCAGTTTGCCTAACGTTACACGACTTTCCGAGGTGTCTCGAAAACCCAAAGAAAAAACCTTGGAGGACAAATTGGCCCAATGAGTCGAAAGATGAGATAATCTGAGCGAAAAAAGTTAGACCTAGGCCTGATTTAATACAACTTATCAGTTAAGCCCTGGTCTAACGTTATAATTGATTCGATGGAAGGAGAAGAGGAGATTTTCACCCAACCTGGGGTAGGGGGAATTAGGTTGAAGAATTATGGATACCCTTGAAAAAGGTTTTTTCACATTACTTTACATAGCGGAGGAGTTACCTCTGAATGATAATCCAAACATTTAAAATCAAATTCAACTGAAAATGCAATCTAACTTCATAGTTTGAGCCAACCCAAGGCTTCTATGTGAATTAGGAGTTTAAGATATATGCAGGAGAACAGAAGCTGTTACCTGGGGTCAATGTGGCTTCATTCTTTGCCAAAAGGCCACACTGAATATTTCTTCAGAAGTTTACTCCATCCCATTCGTATCATTCCATCATCCCATGGCATCCATTTCAAAGTTTGGAATACCCACACACCTCCCACATATTTCATTTCGTTAAATATGGAAATCTCAATAAACATAGTTTACTTTTGTGGGAACCCCCTAACCCCCCTCCTACTCCCTTTTATTGACCCTCTACCATTCTACCATTGGCTTATAGCCAACATGAGACGGATCTCTCAATTTTTTCTAAGGAACGAGGGCTTCAGCAAAATAACTTCATAATATATTTCTACCCAATTAGAAATGAAGTTTCCCTCAAATATATATTCATTCACTTCACTCATTGGACTTTGGATCACGTGTAAAACTTGCAGTAGGCAATCCTGTTAAATTATGAATCTTGTAACTTTTTATACTGTACAATCATGAAATAATACATGCATGAAATAGTAAACTATCACATTATCATAGCTTCTGTGCTTCCTATCAAAATACTTGTGACAATCTTCAAAGACTATAATGACTTCACACTATAATGGAATATGAAGAAATGGCACAAACCAAAGATTCCTTTGACAGGATCAGTTCTGGTGAACAGCTTCTTTCGATTTTGACACACTTGATGAGAAAACAGGTCTGGATGATGCAATTCCCCTGGTTAAAGGTAAGTGATGCACCTTAAATTAGACAAATTCCCATGACAAGTTAGGTCCAGGCCAGTGAGCATCATAGTGAGAATCATATTTCTAAATAGGTCTAATTAGATCATCTCATGTTATGGCCTATATTGACTATGGCTTTAGTGAAAAGGAAATCCACTATTGGAAGGTTAAACTTCAGACCTAAAACCATGCCAGGCCAGTGGCCCCCCCCCCACAAATATTTCCATCGGAAACATTGAATTCGTTGTGGACGAAGCAGCTTTTGAAGTAATTGGGCGAATTCAGTGGTATTCATATTTCAACTGAAATTTCGATTTCATTTAAAATGTATTTCTCGACTTCAATTCAATTAATTCATATTCAGAAAAGTTTCAATGAGAAAGAATGGTAGGAAACTTATCCATGCACCTTCCACCAATGAAGGATGTTCTTATAAGTTGCCCTACAATTGAGGTCCTATTTAGCAAGATCTAATTGAAACTTTGCTCCAATACTCAGATTATGGTGTTCAGATAATCCAAGGTGGCTCATTGTGAGCATAGCCATTTTGAGCTGAATCACTTAAGTATTGATCCTGCCCTTGTTGGAAGTATTATGGTGTTTGTTCTCACCCTTCGGTAAAGGATTGGAATTTTTTTAAATAACTGGTTCCCTTAAATTCAAAATGTAATGTCACGAATCATGGTCTGGCGTTATATTATTCCTAAAGTATATTTGCTTTTTGTTTCTGAATGAATTCCTCAATATCTTTAAACACGAGACTTTTCCCGAGAAAAAACACTCTATTTCAGTGTTTTTATCTGATGTTTTCCAGTGGAACTGAGAGTAGAGCTAAGAAAATCTCCACATAACATCGAACTTCTCTTCAACTGGCTCTGTTATCCACTCAATCTTGAATTCCAGGAAGTAAATATTGATCATCTTCCTAATTTTGTTGACCTCTGCTAATACTTTTTTTTTACTAGTGACAGATATGTATTGTAATCGATAATATCCATGGAATGCTCATATTTCACACACCGCTTCACTGCTTCATGGCATCCATTTGGAAAAAAAATTTCACAACCCCTTCGAATTGTAATTATTTCTTAATTATTCACTTGGTTATGATTTATGAGTCTACAAGGGATCCTAAGTCACATGGAGTCGTCCTCTTCATATTTTTTCTTTGGTTATTCCCTTCAATATCCTGATAGAATAGATTATGGCCTTTTTCTATTTTGGCTCTGGCGAATAAAATTGTCGCACTCTCGATGTCAAATATATACTGTCTCGTACATTTAAACCATCATCTCTACGCATCAGACAATTATTAAGCAAGTCACGTCTTAGATATATTGAATTAACTTTTCCCTTACGTGGACGCTAAGTTTCCCTTAACGTTAGGTCTTGTCATCAATTCCAATATTTGCATATGATCGGCCCTTATCTGATCGGAAGAGCAACAATTGTCAGGATCCTCGCTTAGTCCTAGTTTCATGAGATTGCCTGCGAATATCTAGAATGAGGCTCTACCGTTAGTGCTAACCAGATCTCTTCTTCGATATCATAGATCTAGGCTAAAGTTCCAATTAAATTCCTTTCATAGAACCCATAGTGAGACAAATGCATCACTGGCGGGAGCAGGTCCGCAGCATAACCACATGCGGAAGTCACACAGAAACTCAAACAAGTGGGACGCAATCGCTCCACGAGCGAAGAGAGACGCAATCGCAAAATGGCCTTTCCCTCTCCATTTCGTTCTCGCCGACGGCCATGACTGCATAATTCGCCAAGCTGCCAACAGATGGCGAACAGCGATTGATGAGCCCCGGCATTCTCGGCTTGGCTTAACTTCGCCTTCCACAAAACAAGACTTTGGTCGATGCCATCGATGGTCACCGATAAATACCCGAGTAATGCCACTCACTCTCCCACTCTGCGATCCCCCCTCTTGCCGACAGCGAGTCGCACCGGGCCAGAGGAAGCTACATGGGCCATTTCGCGTCGTATCGACACGGTGTTAAGAAGAAGTCACTTTTGTTTGATCTTCTCCATCATCCAACACCTTTTTATCTATCAGAATACGTCTAAAGCTTTTCCATTCATCTGCAAAATGAACTTCTTCCTCTCTCAAGAAGTCTCTTATCAGGGAGTAGACATTCCATTCGTCACTTTCACCTTCTGTCATGACCTATAGATCATTAAATATCAGATTCAAGTAACATTTAGTGCAATGATCTTATATAAAATAAGTAAAATGATATAACTTACTTAAAGTGTTCTATGATGATGAGATTTGAGGTGATCACAAGAAATGGAGTTGTTCACTGAGCGGCGTCTATAGCAACACAGACCCACTCTTCGACTCGTACA